CTTTCCTCTTTACTTTGTAACATAAGTAAATGTTAATAAAAAAATCTAGAGTACCACAGCTATTGTGGTGTTCATCAAAGTTGTAAATGTTCTAAATTACAAAAAAAATTGGAAATGTTTGTGAAATAATAAAAATCAAAAAAAATATTTATGAAAATAAAAGTTCTTATATAATGGAAAATTTTATGCATTTTATTCATTACGTTATTTTATTTATTAAATATATATTTGTTTTTGATAGAGAATTATGTAACAGAATTTACGCAACTGATTACTCGCATAAATTTCTTATACACATCAGATTTGACATTCAATATAAGATAACCATTTTGGGTTAAATAGATGAATGTCATTTCTCATTCATTCAAACTACACAATCACTGATCTGTGGCTGGTGAAGTGTGGTCTGAATGACGAACACGTAAAGTGTTTGTTTGAATATTTACACAACACCAACATAACCTGGCTAGGCCTGTGATGTTAATAAAATATCTAATGTAGGAGTGTATCACATTATCCATACCTTACCAAGAAACTAACCTATGTAAACCTACCATTACTGATGTTTTATTCGTCAGTGTTAATATTGTATTATGGGCACTTAAGACCATCTCTATTTCTATATAGTCCATAAATGTCCAACGGTTGCTGAGAATTAGAAGGCAGTATCTTTTGACTAGTTAATTAAAATATGATTTAATGTAAATTTATTTATCTATATTTTCACGACTAAGTTTGGACTGATAAACGAAAATGCAAATCACATAACTACACACCGAAATTGAAACCAAAGCCAAGTGATAAGAATATATTCATTCAGTAAAAATATATAACATAACTGACAAGTCATTATGAGAAAACCATAACAAAGTTTTCAATAATATAAAATTAATACTAATTTAAAATTAATTTACACATTTGGTATAGTATTAATAAACCATGTTATCATATTAGCAAAATATCATACATGTATCTATAAATGTAACTTGTCTAACACGCGCCCATCTATTTATCCATTCACACAATGAGTAAAATATATCTACAAGATCAAATATAGGATAGCATCAAAAAACAACAAACTTTTTTTTCACTATGAAAAATGGAACAAACTTCTANATTGTTCATAACATACCAAGTAAACTAACCTATCTAAACCTATCATCACTGATGTTTTATTCATCAGTGTTAATATTGTATTATGGGCACTAAAGACTATCTCTATTTCTATATAGTCCATAAATGTCCAACAGTTGCTTAGAATAAGAAGGCAGTATCCTTTGACTAGTTAATTAAAATATGATTTAATGTAAATTTATTTATTTATTTTTTTCCACGTCTCAGTTTAGCATCTCAATAATCCAGAGATCCAAGATTCCATCCTCGACTGGAGCAYGTCGGAAAAATTCTTTCGTTTTTCTTTCTTTCTTAAAATTAAAATATAGGTGTTCTAGTCATGTTAGATTTTTATTGTAGCAATTTGTTTTATTAATATTTACGAGCCGCAAGATGATACTCAAATAGCAGCGCCGAACAGAGGATCACAGGTTTGAATCTCGTCTCGAGCATCTTTTTTCTTTCTTTTTAAATATAATATAGTTATTATAGTCATCTTGATTTTCTGTAGATTTTGTTTAATAATTATTTTGGAGCCATTATTTTCATTTCACACATAATATTATACTCAAATAGCGTCGAACTTAGGATCAAGGCCTTGATTCTCGACTCTTTTGTTTTTCTTTCATTAAGTTGTTAAAAGTCATGTTGATTTTTTTCTGTAGATATTCATTTAACAATTATTTTTCTAGCCTTTCTTTTGATTTTTACACAGAATATCGTACTCGAATAGCGTCGAATTTAGGGTTGCGGGTTCGTGTTTACTCGACTCAATCACTAAGCGATTCTTAAACTGGCAATCTCTGGTTCGATTTTCGACTTCTAAATAATTTTTTTTCCTTTCTTTCTTTAACTTTAAAATATTCTTGTTCTTTTTTTCTTACTAAAATGCAAAGCAAACTTTCATCTTATAAA